TGGCCATCGCCCCGCCCCCTCCCCAGTTGCCCAATCAGCTGCCGGCTGGGGGCAGAGCAAGGGCCAGGTAGGGCAGACTCCAGTCGACCATCTCTTCAGTCAGTCCTTTTCTGAGAATTGCTTTGGGGCAGGCCAAGATGTTGGGGGCAGGACAATGAAGGTCGCAACAGTAGAAAGTGAAATGCAAGCCCCCTCAAAGCACTTGAGGATTTACTGTTATGTACTGAAGTTCTCACCCTGGGCCAGCAGGGGGATACTAGTTTTCACTCAGGTCCACATATGCAAATAAGGAATCGAAAGTGACGTTCAGTGATTGGACAGTTACAGAAAATGGTTACTGTTGCGTTGTAGTGGAGCTCTATATAAGCAGGCTGGCTGAACCCTTCAGTTCAGTTCTGTTCTGGCCTGTGAATAAACAAGAGCTGTTTGAAGAATCGCTGTGCTGTCTGATATGTTCACCCACAACTTAACATATATATTTGTATCCCAAGGATATACTTAACATATATATTTGTATCCCAAGGATCGACACTTGACAGCTTCCCCCTGATGTTTCTGGCCAGTTTTACCAGTTCCTGCTTCTTCCAGAGAATTCTGGGAACTGTAGTTTTGTAAAGGGTGCTGCAAGTTGAAAGGAGACTCCCCTGTTCCCCTCCCAGAGGCATAATTCCCAGAGTTCCCTGGGAAGAGGGATTGGTTTAAGCAGAGAGTCCAGATGGTTGGCCTTCAAGAGGTTCTCTCCTGCTGTGTGATCCTAAACTCTGGGAGACAAGGTCCATTGTCTGTCTTTGCTACTATGTAAATATGCAGGATATGAAATGGTACAAGCGATTTTTTTGTGTGTCCAATTGCTGCGTCCTTCATCTTTCGCTGTTTCTCTGGTCTGTATCCTTTTCTGAATTCCTGGCTTTGTAAATCCATTGAGGCACCACTTGCATTGTACATTTACAGTGGTACCTCAGGTTACATACGCTTCAGGTTACATACGCTTCAGGTTACAGGCCGCTAACCCAGAAATAGTACCTCGGGTTAAGAACTTTGCTTCAGGATGAGAACAGAAATCGTGTTCCGGCGGCGCGGCAGCAGCAGGAGGCCCCATTAGCTAAAGTGGTGCTTCAGGTTAAGAACAGTTTCAGGTTAAGAACGAATTAAGTACTTAACCTGAGGTACCACTGTATAGCAGTATTATCCCACTTTAAATGGTCATGACTTCCTCCCCAAAAATCCTGGAAACTGTGGTTTGTTTGGGCTGCTGAGAGTTGTTAGGAGACCAGCCCATTCCCCTCACAGAGCAATGATTCTCAAAGTGGTTGAGTATACCTGAAGGAGCGTCTCCACCCCCATCGTTCTGCCCAGACGCTGAGGTCCAGAGCCAAGGGCCTTCTGGTGGTTCCCTCGCTGCAAGAAGCAAAGCTACAGGGAGCCAGGCAGAGGGCCTTCTCGGTGGTGGCACCCGCCCTGTGGAACGCCCTCCCACCAGATGTCAAAGAGATAAACAACTACCTGATATTTAGAAGACATCTGAAGGCAGCCCTGTTCAGGGAAGTTTTTAATGTGTGACATTTTAATGTATTTTTAATCTTTTGTTAGAAGCCGCCCAGAGTGGCAGGGGAAACCCAGCCAGATGGGCGGGGTACAAATAATAAATTATTATTTATTATTATTGTCAGTTCATAAGGGAGGGAGAGAGAAAACCCTCCAAAATCCACAGTTAGACAATAACTTAGGATCAACCAAACGGCTGTTTGGTTGGGATTGGACTGCTTGCCACTATGGTACACCAGCTTAGAGAGCGGGAGAGAAATAGGATTCTAAAGCAAATGGAACAGAATCGGAACAGAATTGTTCCTATTAGGATAGCTAGAAGGAAAATGCCAGTATTCACTGTATAAATTTAGTGCATCCCAGAAATGCATTTATCAAATAAGATAATAGTTGCAAGTCAGAGAAGGAGGTTGGCACTGGCTAATTTAAAAAAAAGATAAATACATCTATTCCAGCTTGCATGACCTGAGAGCCTCTCCATTACTAATCATGGAAACTTTTGGCCTATCTCTGGACAATTTGACGGTGCAAGGGAAGCACTCTGCACATGCTCATGACCATTACAACAACTGATGAGCCTTTAAAGCCCTATACGGCCTAGGACCCTCGTACCTACGGGACCGCCTCTCCTGGTATGTCCCACAGAGAAATCTACGGTCTGCAAATAAAAACATCCTAAAGATCCCAGGCCACAAAGAGGTTAGGCTGGCCTCAACTAGAGCCAGGGCCTTCTCGGTCGCGGCTCCAATCTGGTGGAACACTCTGTCACAAGAGTCTAGGGCCCTGCAGGACCTGACATCCTTCCGCAGGGCCTGCAAGACAGAGCTGTTCCACCAGGCCTTTGGTCAGGGCGCAGCCTGACCCCCTCCTCTGGCAATCGGCAATATGCACAGAATTTGGCTTGATGGTTGCCATTAATTTGATTTTAATTTAATTTGATTTAATTAATTTTATAATGAATGTTTTAGAATGTTGGATTATTTTGATTGTTGTTAGCCGCCCTGAGCCCAGCTTCGGCTGGGGAGGGCGGGATATAAATAAAATTTATTATTATTATTATTATTAGGCCAAATCCTGGTATTCTGAAGAAAGGGAGTGTGAAGAGCTCCATAAAGAATCTCTCAAAACTGGCTGAAAGAGCTTTAAAATAGCAAATGAAATTCAGCGTAAGCAAAAGTAAACTGATGCATATTAGGGAGAGAAAAAAACCACCTCTAACTTGATATATATGCTAGCAAGCTCTGAAATAGCAGTGGCTGACCAGAAAAGAGACCTTGGGGTCATACCAGCCACCTTAAATAAAGTGCCAAGCCAGTGTGCAGCAGCTGTAGATAAGAAAACTCCTTTTTTATGAATAATTAGGAATGGGCAGGAACATAAAATGCAAATCTATGATATAACCACAGTTCTGGTCACTGTGGCGCAAAATGGATATTGTAGAGCTTAAAAAGATTCCAAAATCAGCAACCGAAATGATCAAGAAGGGGCTGGAGCAACTCCCCTATGAGGAAGGATTACAACATCTGGGACTTGGTGGTTTTTTAAAAGCTGAGCAAAAGGCAGGGGAGACACGAGAGGAGTCTATAAAATTATGAATGGTGTGAAAAAAGTAGATACGTTTTTCTCTCACTCTCTAGAACTTTAGAACTTGGGAACGGTCCCATGCAACAGAATGGAGAATAGCTTTCCTCCCTCTTGCATAACTGAGGAACTCATAGAAATCCAAAGAAGTTGAATGTCGGAAGATCAAGGGCAGACCAGAGGACGTTTTGCACCCAGCACACAGTTAAATAAACCATGGAATTCAATCCCTCAAGAAGAAGAGAAGAGTTTGGACTTGATATCACGCCTTTCACTCCCCTTAAAAGTAAAGGGACCCCTGACCATTAGGTCCAGTTGTGACCAACTCTGGGGTTGCGGTGCTCATCTCGCTCTATAGGCCGAGGGAGCCGGCATACAGCTTCTGGGTCATGTGGCCAGCATGACTAAGCCGCTTCTGGCGAACCAGAGCAGCGCACAGAAACGCCGTTTACCTTCCCGCCGGAGTGGTACCTATTTATCTACTTGCACTTTGACGTGCTTTCGAACTGCTAGGTTGGCAGGAGCAGGGACCAAGCAACGGGAGCTCACCCTGTCGCGGGGATTTGAACCGCCGAGCTTCTGATCAGCAAGTCCTAGGCTCTGTGGTTTAACCCACAGCGCCACCCGCGTCCCTTTCACTCCCCTTAAGGAGTCTCAAAGCGGCTAACATTCTCCTTTCCCTTCCTCTCCCACAACAAAACACTCTGTGAGATCAGGGAGGCTGAGAGACTTCAGAAAAGTGTAACTGGCCCAAGGTCACCCAGCAGCTGCATGTGGAGGAGCGGGGAAGCGAACCCGGTTCACCGGATTACAAGTCTACTGCTCTTAACCACTACACCATGATGGCTCCCAAGCTATCTCTCAAGAGGCGACAGTGGCCACCAACAGTGGATGGTTAGGCAAATTCATGGAGGGGAAGGCTAAAAATGGCTAAATTCCGCCTCTTGCTCCGAAGGCATTGTGCCTCTCAATATCAGTTGCCAGGAATCGTGAATGCTGTTGCACTGAGGTCTGCCATGCAGGCTTCCCACTGGCTGGCCACTGTGAGAACAGGATCAGCATCTGGACTGGCACACCTCTCTGCTGAGAGCCTGGAGAATGAGCAGGAAGAGGCAGGCAGAAAAAGGAAGAGACTCAGAAGGACAGCGGAGCATTTAAGGACAAGGAGGGACCAGAAACAGCCAGAAACAGCGGCTGCTCAATCCAGACCCCCACACAGCCCATGGGCTAGAGCCTGGTGCCCGATACTGTAATGCCAAGGTTGCAGGTTCGATCCTCGCAGGGGGCGAATTCACACATTTCAGGGGATTGGTCTAGACGACCCTCAGGGTCCCATTCAATTCTGTGACTCTATGTATCTCTGCAACACCTTAAAGCTCAGCACAAATTCGCTGTGGCACGCGTTTCTGGGACCAAGGTCCATTTCCTTAGCCCTCACCTGCACAAAATAAAACTTTTAAGCCGCGATAAATCGCTTACAACCTTCTGGCTGGGACAAGACGCTTCGCTCGAGGCGCCACGCAGGGCTCAAACCAGCCTCAAGGTAGGACCTCGCCTCCCCTTTTGAATCCCCCAAACAGCCCTTGCGCCTTTAAGAGCTGCCCAGAGGGAGCAATTGCGCCAGCTGCGCTTCCCCTCCACCACCGCACACAGACACAAAAACAGCTGCATCGCCAGGAGGACCCGCGCACCTGGAGAGAGATTCGCCCTTAGAGGCGCAGGGTCTGCGCATTGCATCTGTGCAGCTTTGCTGCAGGTATCCAAACGCCCCCTCTCCCCAACCCCTTATATAACTAAGCCTTAAAGGAGAGGGGTGGACGTCTAACTTTTCCTTCCAGAGACCGGGCACGCTCCCCCGCTTTCTCCCCTCTCACCCAGAAGTTGTCCTTGAAAAGAGTCTCCCGCATGGTGGCTGCGGATCGGCTGCAACAGGTTAGATCCCCACCTCTTCTGTGCCAGGTGCGCAAAAAGTGCCCAGGCTGCTGTTGCTGCTGCTGCCCGGCCGAGCTGCTCCACGCAAGTTCCTCAATTCTCCGTGCCTTCTTCCACGCCCCCCCTACTCCCTTCCCTGCTTCCCTTTTCTGCTGGGTCTTAAAGCCGGTGCACGCGCAAAAAAGAAAAGAAAAAAGGAACCCATTCTTCCCCTCTGAATTGGACAAAAGGGGAAGGGCTGGGGATGGTTAGGCCCCTGAGATGGAGTTGGTGCCCGCTAGCCAAATGCCTTTAAAAAGTTGTGCAGAAGGTGGGGGAAAATTCATAGAGCACCTTAAAGATCGCTGTGAAGGTTTAAAGACGTCAGCAGGATTGTTATAACACTTATAACATTAACAAGGCTAATGTTCAAAGTGAATTTGAAAAAATGTAATTAGAGGCAGTAGAAAGAACAGATAAATATTGGAAACTGGGGGGAGAGGGAAGTCCGGGGATCCAAGTAATCCCAGATGTATAAAAAGTTGGAAATGTTTTAAATGCAAATAACACTGTTGAAAAATGAAATAAAAATAAAAATAAAAGTTGTGTAGAAGGATTTCGCTGTGTGTAGCTTCTCACAGAGGGCTAAGAAATGCATGCTCAAATTTCCTCTTTTTTGCACAAATTGTAAAAAAAATGGAGTTTGAGGCTTTTCCTTGACTTGGGGGAGGAGTAATTTGAGGACTACTCCAGAGCACGGACAGTGTCATCCTTTAACATGTGGTTACTTAAAAATGACTGAGTTTAATGGGGTGTTAATAATAATTATAGTTACAGATAGGTAGCCGTGTTGGTCTGCCATAGTCAAAATTAAAAAATTCCTTCCAGTAGCACCTTAAAGACCAACTAAGTTAGTTCTTGGTATGAGCTTTCGTGTGCATGCACGAAATGGTATGAGCTTTCGTGTGCATGGTATCTGAAGAAGTGTGCATGCACACGAAAGCTCATACCAAGAACTAACTTAGTTGGTCTTTAAGGTGCTACTGGAAGGAATTTTTTAATAATAATTATAGTTATTATTTTATTTTGCCCAGCCTTCACCTGAAGGTCCCAAAGCAGGTTACAATTAAAACACGATGTTTTAATTGGGGGGGGGGGGGACGCTGGTTCCCAACAATAGTGTACGTGATCTTAAATTTCACAAGTCAGGTGAAAGAGGTCCAAAATAAAGCTGCATACTCACTATACAGTGGTACCTTGGGTTACATGTGCTTCGGGTTACAGACTCCGCTAACCCAGAAATAGTACCTGGGTTAAGAACTTTGCTTCAGGATGAGAACAGAAATCGTGCTCTGGCGGCAGTGGGAGGCCCCATTAGCTAAAATGGTGCTTCAGGTTAAGAACAGTTTCAGGTTAAGAATGGACTTCCAGAATGAATTAAGTTCTTAACCCAAGGTACCACTGTACATTTAAAACACCCGCTCCAAGAACCTTGGGAATTGTAGTTCACTCCTCACAGAACTATACTTCCCGGTAACTTTAACAAATTTGCAGCAACAGGTCCCAATAAATATATACTATGCAGGGACGCGGACTTATAAAAAATATTGGGGGGGCCCGGGAAAGCTCATGAATAATAAATAAGCTCATGAATATGCAAATAAAGTGGCGCCGCCTCCTCGTGAGCGAATAGGGGAGAGCGTGCTGCGCCTATTAATCAGCTCCAAAGGAAATTGGGTGGAGCTTTTGCTCGGGAGGGAGGGCAGGAGGCATGCAGCCCGCCCCTCCCTGTGCATTTTGGGCTGGGGGAGGGGCGGCGATGGCGCTCTGCTGGAGGGGCGCCGGAGATTATTGGGGGGGCGGAGCCCCCCCAAACGAATTTTTGAGGGGGCTCGGGCCCCCTCAAGCCCCATGGAGTCGGCGCCTATGATACTATGCATATTTATAACTCAGAGCAACACTTTACAGTGGTAACTCAGGTTAAGTACTTAATTCGTTCCAGATGTCCGTTCCTAACCTGAAACTGTTCTTAACCTGAAGCACCACTTTATCTAATGGGGCCTCCTGCTGCTGCCGCCACGCCACCGGAGCACGATTTCTGTTCTCATCCTGAAGCAAAGTTCTTAACCTGAAGCACTATTTCTGGGTTAACGGAGTCTGTAACCTGAAGCGTATGTAACCTGAGATACCACTGTATAAGTCTGATGACATGGACTATAGTCCATAAAAGTTTATAGCATAATTTGTTTGTCTTTTACCGTATCACAGAAGTTTCTTGTTTTGCTGCAAAACCTTTGCTGCAAATCTTTACCATGTTTACTCAGACTTTAACCCCCATTGATTTCAGTGGGCTTTACTTCCAAGAAAGCAGGTTTGGGTTATATAGCTATAGGATTGTGGTTAGAACTGTAGTTTATCCCTAAGAGAGAAAGAGTTCCCAGCGACTTTAACAAACTACAATTCCCATAATTTGTTGATAGAAGCCATGTGCCTTAAATGTATTATGTGGTATTTGTCCTGAGAGTAATAATGTATATAGCATTGGGCAGCACAGTTGCAGTCCTTAGGCACACTGTCTTGGGAGTAACTCCCACTGGAAATGGAAATTCATTTGGAGTAATGGCAAGGCAGCACTCCTGCACACACTTACTTGTGAGTAAGCCACACTGAACTCTGATTTACTTCCAAAAAAGCATTGTTTACTACAGCTCCTAAAGGCCCTACTTCCTTGAATGCAAAGGTTGTTTAGAGTCAACATGGTTAGGGTGGGACTGTTAAGATTGTCATCTTTCTGGTGTAGTTCTGATTGATAGGTGGCAGACATTCAACAGGTGGAGCTCTCACTTACTGACTGTTGCCCAGGAAAAGGCTGCATCGGTTGAATTTTTGTGCGCTGCACAGATAGAGGAGCCCTGTCAGACAAAAAGGTGGCAACGCTGTGCTTAGCAACAGAAGCTTCATTTAGGAGCAGAGGTAAATTGGGAGGATCAGCTGGAGTGTTGGCGAGATCAGGGAACATTTGCAGGTGCTAATTAACTCCAGTTTTCAAGTTGCTTGTTACACACAAAACACTTTCAGACGCAGTAGATTGGTGCTGTGCTCTGAAGGAAGAATGGTTTCTGGCAAGGGTATGCAGTTAAGAGAAACCAGAAGCCTGTGATTTTCACAATTGCTTATCCCAAGATAAAAAGAGAAAAAGTCTTTTAAAAAATGCACGCCAACCTTGCTAGCCAGGTTGCCAAATGCAAAAGGGGAAACGATTCCATCCCACCCCTTTTAAAATTCTGGAAGAAACACAATTTGAGCCAGTCTAGCTTCTCAGGCAAGGCTCAGAAAAGCTGCCCTTGCTTATTTTTCCTCTTTGTCAATCATATTTAGTGTATTTTTTTTAATCCCACCCACCTTTCCTCCAAGCAGGAAGTAGCACACATAGTTCTCCTCTACATGTTATCCTCACAATAACCCTGTGAGGTACAATGGCCTGTGAGATGAGCAGCAAAGGTCTGCCCGTGAATGCCATGGCTGAGTGGAGATTTGAATCCAGGGCTCCCTGGTCGTTGTTTCAGACTCTTAACTGCTACATAACCACCCCCATCATTCAGCCCGGACATTGAGGTCCAGCGCTGAGGGCCTCCTGGTGGTTCCCTCACTGCGAGAAGCCAAGTTACAGGGAACCAGGCAGAGGGCCTTCTCGGTAGTGGCACCCGCCCTGTGGAACGCCCTCCCATCAGATGTCAAAGAGAGAGAAAACTACAGTGGTACCTCTGGATGCGAACGGGATCCATTCCGGAGCCCAGTTCACATCCTGAAGAGAATGCATGTCTGTGCGGGTCGCGATTTGCAGCTTTTGTCTAATTCTCTTTGAAAGCCATCCTCATTTGTGGCTGGCTCCTGTGGAAGTGAGTTCCAGAGTTTAACACTGCAGGATGAAGACCTGTACAGTGGTACCTCTGGTTACAAACGCTTCAGGTTACAGACTCTGCTAACCCAGAAGTAGTACCTCAGGTTAAGGACTTTACTTCAGGATGAGAACAGAAATCATGCGGTGGTGGCACAGCGGCAGCGAGAGGCCCCATTAGCTAAAGTGGTACCTCGGGTTAAGAACAGTTTCAGGTTAAGAACGGACCTCCAGAACTAATGAAGTTCTTAACCCGAGGTACCACTGTAAAGTGCCCAGATGTCCCCCCCCTTTTTCCCCCCTTTTAAGTAAAAGCTGAAAACTTTGAGATGGTGAAGTTCTGTCTTGAGAAATGGTAGCTCCTGAATAGATAGAAGTATTTTAAGGCTGCCTTTCATGGCATAAAACCCTCACAAAGCACCTCACGAGATATCAAAATACAAAACAATTGTGTGTGTGTGTGTGTGTGTGTGTGTGTGTATTTAAAAAGGATAAAACAACTGTTCAAAGCACCACAAGCTGACAGCAGATAAAATGATTAAAGGCTATATTTGCAAGTAAACCACCCACCACTGGAACATGGAAATTACAGGAGCATTTCTTATGCAAAGTTTGCAACGAGAGGCATTGCAATCCACAACGTGTCAGATGCTGTTGGCACAGAATGAAGACTCCACCTGTTCTCCCGGTTTGCCTGGCCTGACGAGAGTTACTAAAAATACGGCTGAACAATGAGGAAGGTCGGACAGGACAATTGCCTAGTTTCTTTCCAGGTTATGACAGTAAGAATGCATACAAGAGGAAGTCCCAAGCGCACAAACACACCCTCTCTGTTGTCGATAACTCAGCCTCAGGAGGAATGTTTCCAAAGCGGGGTCAGCAACTAGAAGCCCTCCAGACTAATCCGTCCTCCCACAAGGGATGGGCACTTTACTTTACCACACTGCCAGCCCAGAAGCCAAAGAGGGTTCTGTAGTAAGTGCTGTCCTTTTGCATCAGAAGTTGTCTGCAGAAAGCTGAAGTACAGTGGTACCTCGGGTTAAGTACTTAATTCATTCCGGAGGTCCGTTCTTAACCTGAAACTGTTCTTAGCCTGAAGCACCACTTTAGCTAATGGGGCCTCCCACTGCTGCCGCGTCGCTGGAGCATAATTTCTGTTCTCATCCTGAAGCAAAGTTATTAACCCAAGGTACTATTTCTGGGTTAGAGGGGTCTGTAACCTGGAGCATATGTAACCCGAGGTACCACTGTACAAGGGTGTTAAGGCAAGTTCCCATGACCCACCACACAGCCACCCCCAGGAAATCTTGTTCCTGATCAGGGCGCTAATATTTTGCGAGCTTAAGGGCAGGGAGGCAGATTTCACATGGCTGTAAGCGAATAAGGGGTTTGG